GACGCAGATTTGGGAATTGTTCTCTTGAGGCTGACAGAGAGTGGCAGGGGGGGGGGTGGCAGCCCGGTTGGTGAGTTACGTTAATGACCTCTGCGCTGCTGCGACGCGTGAGAGTGCATTCCCACGCGTTATTCCGGGATCATCCATTGGAGCCGACTGACATTTAACAGTTTTCCGAAACGTTTCACACCTCTACTGCCAAAGGCCCAAATGAATTCGTGTGTTTTCATTGTGCGAGTGCGTATGACTGTGTGTGCGCGTGTAAGCATGTGTGGAGCGGTAGTGTAATAGTGAGCACACTGCGCTACAAACACTGCAACCCAAGTTCGATTCCGTCTCACGGCCATCACCAGTGACGAGTATTTGAATCGGTCCTGGGTCTCCCCTGGGTCGACTCAGCCTCAAATGAGTATCTGGCGCGGTGTGTAAACATCGCCATTGGGGAGACAAAGGCGGCCGGGCGTGGTGCTGGCCACCCACCCCCTCGTGTGCCGTTCCGGCCTTCATAGGTGCTCGCAAACAGCACTTGCCCCAAAAATATGTTACAGGTTATATGGGGGATCTTTGTCTTTGTGCACAAGTATTACGACATGAAAAGTGGTTACTGTATGTACGCGTTCCAGAACGATAACACAATTTTATGATATAATCTATAAATGTCAAATTTTATTGTCATATAATCTAGTTTGTAAGAGGTTTACTGCTAAAAACATCCGCATAAATACCCTGAGTTCAAATCTATTAAACGCATTTAAAACTCCTAAAAAGCAACACCACGGATTGATTTGAAGGTGAATCATAATGTTGATTTTCTCTGTGTAGGCTGGTTTGGGTTAGTAACGCCAATTATTTACCCATAAAAGCCTCCCTGAGCCTCAAGACATTTAGGGGGGAGCGGTGGTGCAGTGATTAGCGCACTAAGATATGAACCTGGCGACTCCTGCGCGACTCCCGGCCTTTGCGAACATCCGCAGTGAGTCCTATCCGAAATGCTTCTGCACCTTCCTTCACCAGTCTAAAACGACCAGCATGGTGAAGTATGGTTGAACAACTCCCATAATTGACAGGGCATCGGGAGGCCTCATAGAGCATTGTATTGACGATGGGCTGTGTAAAATGTTTCATGTTATTTTTGTATTCTTCCCAAGTGCATGCCTCATTAACTATAATTCCCACGGTTTGTGGACAGGGAACTGCAACAGTGAATTCTTAAAAATTTAATTCACCAACAATTTTGCAGCAGTCGTGCACCACCACCACACACTCTAGGTCAACAACAACGTTTCAGCTACCTCACCTGAGGCAGCGGATTGACAAAGGGACTTCAAGTTTCGCGTTCGTTTCTACATTCGAGGCTCAATGTGACCGAATTGAAATTTGTAAAGAGGACACTCGCGATGGGTACGGCATTCCGTGAGGTGGGCTCGTGAATTTAAAAAGAACATTTTGTTTTCATTCATCAAATTGGTTACAGGCATGCAAGAAACACCGCGGGGAGGGATACCCTTCAGAGGCCAGCTCAAGATGACTTGCACCCTAAGAATAAAAGCTACATGGATAGGCGTTGAAGGCGGCGTGTGCGGTTCCTTCCTTTTCAAAACACTTAGCGGCTTCCCCTCGCTGACCCTGGGGTGGGTGGGGTTGCCGAGTCGGGGTATAAATCACTTCCGAAGCCCATCGCACAAGCGGCGAAGTGGCATGGGACAAACGCGCGATGCCGTTAAGACGAAAATCTGCTGGTGCTCACAGGAAACCTGTCGGGACACTGATTGACTCTCTTGTCCCCTTGGACATTCACCCGGCTCTGGGTTGCCGAGACCAAAACAGTTGGAGGCTTTACGTGAGCGGAATGATTATATATTTTTTTTAATTCGCTTCCGCTTGCTTGCGACGATCCTTTCTTAGAGTTCAGTAAAAGCGTTAGATAATGAACTAACGTTATACATGTACATTTACAGCCATCGCAAGTCTGCATTTTTTGTGCTTTGGGATTTTTATTCAGCTAAAGTAAGCACGATGATTTGATCTGCCTCCCGCAATTTAAGTTGCAATGCATTTTAAATAAACCTACATTTACATATACTTAACCGTTTGCTCGAGTAATTTATGATTACGATGATTCTGTGCGCAGAGTATATCAACACAGCTTCTTATTAAAGGTTCAGTTTTATTACACTAATTACACGTCAGTCTAAGCAAGTTGCCTCCGTTAAAGCATAACGCATTACAAGCAAGTGTATTGTAAAGTGGGCTATTACATTACCAATAACAAAACGGTGCGAGGCAATGCGCGTCTGACAGCTTACAATGGGACTCTGTCGTTCAGCGAATGCCTACAAATCACCCACAATTCACTCCGATATCATCTGGGCTCAGCAGCTAAGCAGGTTTCAGCTTGTTTACCGTTTGGATGGGTACACCACCGGGTTCATACTCTTAGTTCTTTCGGTAAAGTCACGTAGGTAAAAATTTGAAAAAAAAATTGATAAAAATTAATAAAAATTAATACAAATAAAATGGTTTTATTTTTATTAATTTAAATATCAATGTTTTACCTACGTGACTTTACCGAAAGAACTAAGAGTATGAATCCTTGCAGTCATGAAAGCTTCAAATCTAGAATTACACCACCGGGGCTTATCACGTGCGTGTCGACATTCGGCTTCAGGATGACCTCGAGGAAGCCGCGTGGAGTGTCACCCCCTCATCCACGTGGGTTCCTTCCGTGTTTTCTCCGTGTACTCAGATTTCCACCCCCACGTGCCAAACACTAATTCTGGAGCCGGTCAAACATCCTCACGCAGGATCCTCCTGGGAGAATAACCTTGAGTCTCAGTGAGGCTTTCGTGGGTAAATCATATAGTAAAGTTATAAATACGTGAATATAAATTAATAGTTGTTTAACCTGATGTACAATTTGCTGACAAATTAGCACCGCTTGTGTTTGGAAAATACACAAAGATAAAAAAAGAAGTACTGCATCGGTCTGCATTGTCTGTCGAATAATGGGTGTTTGATTTGGCAGTGGACCTTCCAAACAATGACATACATTCGCAGAGAGTGCCGTGGGAATCACGGTCGTGCGCGGTTCCAGCAACAATTTTAATGGGTTTCCCAGGGGGACACGTGTCAGGCAGGAGTGGGCTACCTTGCGCCACTGGGCAGGGCTTGTGATCACACGCAGACGGGAAAAGTTACGCCCGGTGAACCACAGAATCGCACGAAACCCACCTTTGACTAAATATGTGACACCAAGAGCCTTGCGCGTGATCTTTATTTGATGAAGCGAAGACTGAATTGAATGTATTGTTCACGACGTGAAATATCTATTGACGTGAATAAAGGCTGTTGTGGGGTTTTGAACTTGTGATTCACAACTTCAATGGACACTTTTTTTTTAAACTAACACAAACAGGAGATGAACGACCCAGACAGTGTCTGGATATCGAAAGTGCCCCAAACGACGTTTCGCCAGTGATTGCAATTGCTCCGTTTTGCAGATTATAACTGACTGGTGTAAATTAGAGTTTATTGTTTTTGTTGTTAACCATTGCCACAGGGTGGTGGAAGGCCGTGGGGGGACTGGTTTGGTTTCATCCTATGGCCTTCGTGCGTTAAACCAAATAAGGTGTAATATATGTTTTTCTTCCAGAGGAAGTTTCCGTGGCTTTCTGACATCCCAAGCAAAACAGCTTAAGTTCATCACATCTGGGATAGCAGCTGTGAGCAAATAAGAAGAAACACACATGCTACCCAGGGGAAGCCTATTCTCTCTACCTAGCTCTGGTATTCAACTTACACCCAGGCTTTTTTTGTACTCCAAAAGCCAAATATAATTCGATAATGCGCATATTGGTGTCAATTAAAGTACTCTCAAAAACTTATAGATTTTTAATATGCTTTTGACCAGCTGCATGCGTCTATATAAAAGTAAAATAAGTATGCACACTGTTTCTGCCCAGTGCCTTGAGACGCTACATAAACCCACGCTTGTGTTGCATGACGTTAGAATGAGTCCCGGCAGCACGGAAACACAAAGGGCTCTGGAACGAAATCGCCACTGGACGTCTTTCGAGAGCTCAGTGAATGTCAGATGTTTTTTGATGGAAGGTGGTCTTTATAGTGAGGGCATCTGTACGCAAATGCCAACTAACGATGGGTCAAAATACCAATGCATGTTCAATGAATGGTCCAGTGTTTCAAATGTATGAACACAGTGAAAGTCTTCAATGCGTTGAAAGACAAGTGGGAGTATTGTATTATTTTCCCTAAGATATCTCAAGCATATGAGATTACTTCATAAAATAACTATAAAAATGATCTGTCGGAATATTAAGTTACCGGGAGCCTCTTTGAGTGAGATAAATATTTACTTTAAAAAATGTGATTTAGCTACATGTTGCCTTATATCCAGGTGTATATCCCTGTCTATAATATAACCTTGTGTGTACGTAACTACACCTGTTCTGTGTTTCGCAAATTAGTTCATTTTGCTTGTACTGTACTTGACTTAAATAAAGAGAAAATTATTGTCATGTTTTATAAAAAATATTGCCATTTCCCTTGGAAACCAAAGTAAACAAAAATAATGCTGCGTGGCCACACTGATGCGATAAAATCGAGTACTGTGAGATCATTGATTCGAGTATACCTCTAAGAATTAACTTTCCGGCCCAGAATTTAGATTGTGCTTGACATTGCCCAGCATCGTCGCTTTCCTCACGAACATTCCCCCTTGCCGGGTAGAAGGCACGCAATACAGGAGCACGAGAGTACAGTGTGGCTACAGAGGGTTGGTGGGAGAGAGAGAGAAAAAAAGAGCACAAACCACATGCTTCCTTCCATGGCATCAAACCAACTTTCATGTGGACGAATAGACGTGGAGTAGACTACTAAGAAGCTGGGACATAAACTCCAGCAAACGTGTGCCTTGTGAAAGGCGTACAAGTTTGGCACGCGCATATTTTTTTTGTCCACACGAATCATTCGACGCATTTCGGTGACATTTTTGCACTTTATTGCTCAGCTTCTCGTCTTGTTTACAAGTGGTCACTGCCGCACAGGGGGTATAAAAAGGAGCTCCCCGAAGGGATTCATGGCTTGTCCCAGTTTCAGCTGACACCTCGCACCTGTCACGCAGCCGGCATCGGAATCACGCGCTCGGTAAACGCGGGCCAGGTGGCATTCATTAAATGTGGCCCAAATGACAATAAGCCGGAGAGACTTTGATAACAATCGTTTGCACTTTAGTTTTACCCCTGGCCATTGCACTGGAGACACGCGGAACAAAAGCGAATGCAAACACGCGAGACATTAACGGCAGCGAATTAAACAACTACTGCCAGTTCCTTCACTCGCACGAGGGGGCATTCGGCACTCCCCACCCCCAACTTCAGCCTTTGTTACTGGTCCACTGAAACGCATCACTCGCCAGCGCGAGCCGTCTGCTGCATCTGGCATTCCAAAACATCCGGGCAAATTTGGTGTTAAATTGTTAGAACAAGTAAACTAAAAGCAAAAGCGCATTTGCTACGCTCCGATCGATCCAATTGCCATGGGTTCCACATGCCCACCACAGCTTAGACAACTCACACATGTGGCTGACAACGATGCTTGATTCAGCTGGGCTCACGGCTCGGTTGGTGCGTTCACTCTTAAAAAAAATGTTTGCGGCGCCTGCATTATCGGCCTTTCTGTACAAGGGCTCTTGCAACGCTTCCATACAGGGTCATGTACATTTGAAATGTTTAACGGTAACTATTTACAAAAAATTGCAAAAAAAACTATTGAAAAAAAAAACACAACGCTTCAGCAACTTGGACGTGTTTAACTCCTAAATGTGTATTTAAAAAAAAAGTATTTTTCTTACATTTTTATTGTTTTCATTTATTTTGTACTTTTTTTTTCTTTTTAGAGAGCACAATACTTTGACAGATACCGTATTTCCTTTGCGTGGAAAACACGAAGCTAAATTGTGCTTATTCAATGCAATTAACAAAAATAATAATCCAAACTGAATTTGTGCACATTTCTAGGATTAAAACACTGAACTGCAAGTATATAAAAAATCAGTGTAAAAATACATTGCGATGAGCGGCATGGGGAGGCTGTCTCCATCAGGGCCAAAAGCACGGCATGTCTAATCCCATCTTGGTGGCCTAATTCTGCTCGTTGCCTGTGAGGCATTGATCAGAAACTGAACATATTGATTGTTATGGAACCTCACCAACCATCCAGCCAGTCCACTTCATGATTCATACCTCTACCACCACTAACGTTTTCCTGGGACAACCATTGTATTTATATTGCTGAGAAGAGCTTAGGCAAAATTCCAATGGACTGCATACAATGGAATCAGCAATAACGATCATCCAGCAGTCGATCAAACATCGTTTCAAGACGCATAACCGAGTCCCATCGTGATTGACAGGAAAAGAGCGGGTGAAGGGAAAGAGAGTCACACATGTCCAAAAGAATCTTACCGAACTTATTGGTAAAAAAAACTCAATCACAAAGCACTGGCAGGGAAAGAACATACTTTGTGTTCGTCATATTTGATTGATTCAAGTGTTTTTTTTCCTCCTTGCTCATAAAGACCCTGTTCACAGACTCTATACAGCGAACGCATTATTGTAGCACCTACAGATGGTATTTCACAGATGCGAATAGAGTACATTGAGCAGCCCATACGACACGGGTATTGCACAGTGCTTGCCAGAGTTTAATTTTCACATGCATATCTTGCGCGGCACCTACATCAATAATTCCACAACACCCCACTCCTATTTCGCTCCCTACAAATGTGTAAAAAGCACACGGCCTTTGTGCGTTATGAAAAATAATAATCAGCTTTAACTGAAGAAGTGTATTGTGGTCCTTTTGTTTTGGATTACCACCAAAATACATTTTTAAAAAATGTGACCAAATAACAGCAGCAGTGATTGAGTGATAGATGACTGCGGAGCAGTGATCTAAGTAAGACGAGAGAACCGCAATGCACTTTTTCAGGAAAAGCTGAATGGATTTAATATAACGCACAGCAGATGTGTGCTTTTGTCAAATTTTGGCATCTTCTTTTAAACTTGTGATTTTCCAGACTGCACGTTTCTTCTCTTCTGATAGATATAGCTCATTATTTCACAGATTTTAATTTATCTACAAAAACAAGCTTGAACCCTTCGATAAGGGAAATAGGCACCAATGTTTACACAGTGCTTCTGGGTTGCTTATGGAAACAGCTTCAAGAAATCACAAATGTTAGGCACTTTTAAATTTTCAGAAGCCGTTTGGAGCTCAAAGGTGTAAATTTACGATCCTAAAGGGTGTTTAGGCTTAGTTTGACTCATTAGCTTATAAAGATTTGTATTACTATTGCATAAACATCAAAGTAAATGTGCAACTACCTACAAATCATCAGTGGTTAACGATTTATCGTCTGACACTCAATAATGAATGCAAAAACAATTGAGTTTGTTTAAAAAACAAATATTAAAAGTAAATGCAAAGAACTGAGTGTGTATAATAGTTCTTACGCTGTGAAAAATGCAAAATATTTGCTCTGGTAGCTGGATAATGCGATTGTATGGTCAAGACTTCCAAGGCAAGTTTGTCGTTTGAAACAACTCCTTGCAAACACGCACAGAAGTGTGCATGGTTGGCCTGTGGTAAAGTATCACGTAGTCCTTCTTTCTAGAAACACACAAGCTAAATATTCCAATAAATTTGTGCAAAGGTCTCAGATGAAAACAAAAATCGTGAAAATGCGTGTTGTGGGTGCGTTCTTTTCCATGTGTATACCTGTGCGTGTGCTTCTGTATTCGTACACGTGTGTGGTGCATAGCTGTGTGCATAGTTGAGGGTCGTCTCTTCCTAGAAAAACCGCTCAAATGGCCAGAGGGATGGGATGGTGGTGGGGTTATTTATGGGAGGGGAACAATTGATGGATAACGTGGGGGAGAAGGGGGCTTGAATCAGCATGAATCGTGAGGCACAGACGAATCAACATTGAACCGCGATGCCAAACTCCACCAACTGCACAACTCGAGCAAAAAAATTGGTCACGCAACTCAGAGCCACGTGCACGTCTTGGCGATTCCTCCATGAAAACGAGCGGCGATTGCTCCAAGAAAACGAGCGGCGATTCCTCCAAGAAAACGAGCGGTGTGAAGACGCTTGACCGGGTGTTGCGTGGTTGGGAGGGATTCTAAGGTTTGCACGTATGTATGCATTTCTTTTGCACCATACGTAGCCGACCGTGCCAATCGGCGGTGCTGTTTGATTGAGGGTGGGAAGACGGGCATTGGACAGAGCAGCCAGAGGACGATCCCGAGCCGACGTTTTTTGACGCGGGCGGACGCAGAGAAACCCGAGCAGATACCGGAAACGTGAATGTCAACGCCGCGCTGTTGTTGGCGTCGATCTCACCGTTTCCACTGAAACGAGGCCAAAGAAAATGGTGGGAAGGTTTCCGCTATGTGCGCCCCTCCTCTGGGCCGACTCTGGCAGGTGGGGGGGGGGTCCATTTTGGGGCGGGGTGGAAGATCTGACCCCCCCCCCCCCCGTCCTCGCTCAGCAGCACGCGGCTCAGTCCATGGGCATGGGCAGCACGGTGAACTTGTGGTCCTCGGAGGCGCGTCGCACCGCGATGGAGAGCGTGTCGTCGCGGCGCACCGCGTCCGTGACGCTCTGCGTGTCGCGCACCTCCTGCCCGTTGATGCTGATGATGACGTCGCCGTCCCGCATGCCCGCGCTGGAGGAGGGGGGGGGGGGACTGGAGTAAAGAGAAATATGTGAAGCTAATAACAACGACGAGACAGTTATGAAGGTAGTTGGCTTGCATTCTGCTGAATTTCAGCGTGAAGCTACAGAGCCGGAGTAGACCCAGAGGGCCAAAACGTCGATTGGCCAGGAACAAACAGCACTATCAAAGTTGTAGTCAATAGAAACGTGTCAAAATGCTTCTCGACTTGAACAAGATTATAAAAACATGGAAAAGAGATTCTGAGAGGGGAATCCAAAGTCAAGCAGTGTGAGGTAAGATGCCAAATCAGAGGTATTTTTGTGACCTGCAGTACGGTGGTTGAACGCAGTACAGGTGAGATGACAGAGTCCTCATCAGGGGTCGAGGAATCAACGAGTGAAGTTCACAAGAGCACGAGCCATAGTCGTCACAATGGAGGAGTGATATATGTTTCTAGATTTGAAGCTTTCGTGACTGCAAGGATTCATACTCTTTGGTTTTTTCGGTAAAGTCACGTAGGTAATTTTTTAAAAATAATAATAATAAAATAATAAGAAATGAAAATAACTAAATTAAATCAAGACGTTTCGGAGGCAACACAAGTCTCCGTCTTCAGGTGGGACCGTCGCAGCCAAATTCACTGAGACTTGTGTTGCCTCCGAAACGTGGTGATCAAAATTATTTATTTATTTGTATCTATTTTACTATTATTATTTTATTATTATAATTTTTTACCTACATGACTTTACCGAAAAAAACGTAAGAGTATGATATATGTTTGCATGTTGAACTTCTTCCACACCAGTACGTAGCCAACCGTGGCTAATCAAGAGGTGCGGGAAATCGGAGTGATGGAGACGACAAGAAGGGTGCGCTGTGGAAAACAGGCCACGCTCTCGTCGCGTGCCACCTCCCCCGCGGCCGATCACTCACGCGTAAGCGGGCGAGTCCCTGATGACTTCGTGGATGTAGACGCCCGTGCTGACGGTGGGCATGTCCCCGTAGCGACGCAGCTCCTTAATCAGCCTGGGTGAGGGAGGTACACGAGGATTAGCCTAATTTTGGGCTGATGCTGCTGCCTTCTGCTTCCACACGAGTCGTTTTGAGCTGGTGCCTACGCTTTTACTAAGGGAGGCGCATTTCCCTGCATGCTGATAGGTGCCCACCATTGCTGATAAATTCGGACATTATCATCATCATCAGCTATCATTTGTATCAGGCCTTCCATGCAATACATATGGTTGTCACCTGTTCTGGTTTTCCAGGATCATCCTCGTTTTGAGGTAGCTATCCTGGAAAATCCTATCCTGAAAGTCTTCCCAGGACATTAGGTGTCCTGGTTTTTGTCAGTTGCGTAATTATACAGCACTCAAGACAAAGCATGTACGTGTGTTCTTTCTCTCTTCCAGTGGAAAATAGACGTCTTCCCACAATGCCCCGCTTTTTTTTTGTACTTCAGAGGTGGACACTCTAGCAATACATCTCGAGGTACCAAAACCAAGGGGTATTTAAAATAATAATAATAACAATAAGAGATTACTCAATAAGGAAGTGGTTGCAGACCACACACAATATGCAAAAACAAAGCAGTATAGAGAGCACACATACAGAGGCAAACATGAAAAAGCAAAACGAACAGCGGAAATTTAGATGACTGCACTCTCTTTTGAGATCTCCTGTGCATACACTTACTTGCATGCCTATACGTCACATTTCTCAAACCCCCCCCCCATCTTCACAAAAATCTGACCCCCCCCCCAGGTGCGTGACGTCATTTATGGACGGTCCCTATGGTCAAACAACCCCCGTGACCAACAACGCATTCTTCCAGCAGTGGATTGGCATTTGCCTGAAAACTAAAAATATACTCATTATTCCGTGACGAACTTCCAAAGATTAACACTAATGTCAAGTTCATACAGCGTCGCATAAAACAGGGTGCTTCAAAAAAAATGTACCGCAGAAATGTGCCTCCAGGCTCTAGAGACCTCCTGGAGAAGAGTCTAGGCCATGTGTTGACGATGATGGCGAACAAGTGGAGACTATTTGACTTTTTGAAGCTATTAACATGACATTTGTTATCACGTTACAGTGCATTATCCGTTCTTTTTCCATTTAAAAAAACGATAGTCCCATGTCAGTGTTAAAAATTGTTTTTAAAGCACCCTGCGCAGTGCCTCGAGGACTGTGCACTGGTGGCGGACTGCCAGCGACGTGTCGATCTTGTCACACGTGTCGACTTGGAAGGCGCCACCGCACCACTACACCACCACCACCGTCACCGCACCACTGCACCACCGTCACCGCACCACCACCACCATCACCACACCACCGCACCACCACCACCGTCACCGCACCACCGCACCACCACCACCGTCACTGCATCACCACCACCATCACCACACCACTGCACCACCACCACCGCACCACCACCACCGTCACCGCACCACTGCACGACCACCACCACCATCGCACCACCACCACCGTCACCGCACCACCACCACCATCACCACACCACCGCACCACCACCGTCACCGCACCACCGCACCACCACCACCGTCACCGCACCACCACCACCGTCACCGCACCACCACCACCACCGTCACCGCACCACCACCACAGTCACCGCACCACCACCACCGTCACCGCACCACTGCACCACCACCACCGTCACTGCACCACCACCACCACCGTCACTGCACCACCACCACCACCGTCACCGCACCACCACCACCACCGTCACCGCACCACCACCACCGTCACCGCACCACCACCACCACCGTCACTGCACCACCACCACCACTGTCACCGCACCACCACCACCGTCACCGCACCACCACCACCACCGTCACCGCACCACCACCACAGTCACCGCACCACCACCACCGTCACCGCACCACTGCACCACCACCACCGTCACTGCACCACCACCACCACCGTCACTGCACCACCACCACCACCGTCACCGCACCACCACCACCACCGTCACCGCACCACCACCACCGTCACCGCACCACCACCACCACCGTCACTGCACCACCACCACCACCGTCACCGCACCACCACCACCGTCACCGCACCACCACCACCACCGTCACCGCACCACCACCACAGTCACCGCACCACCACCACCGTCACCGCACCACTGCACCACCACCACCGCCAACTCGGCCTGCACGTGTGCAGGCCGAGCAGGGTTCCACAAATTGTCGTGCCCACGTACAGTTGTTGAAAACAAGCAACTTTTATTTTACTTATTACGCTGCTGCCCCTGGACGCAAGGGCGGCCCCAGCCCCCCCCCCCATCTCAACGTTCATCCTACAAAGTCCCATCGCAAGGAAGAAACGTATTGAAACGGCTGTACGCCGTATGGACCTGAAAACTCAATTTCCCTGTTCAAGAACACGGGTAAACCGTATCGGTTGACAGGTATGAGTTGATCAGGGGTTAATGACATCCAGATTCGGATTTCAGCTATCAGGCGCCTTGATATTCAAACTATTTTATATGTACCTATCAACTGAGATACACGAAAAATGTGGCAATATGTAATGCATTGCGATCATACATTTGTAATTACAGTAAGTGATAGACTTTGTATTATTTATAATTGAAAGCCCTTTGTCAATTCACTGCTGGATGAAGGAATCGCGTTGTGTCAGTCATAGGAGTTGTTTGACCATACTTCACCACGCTGGTTCCCGTGGTTTTAAGAATGATCAGATCATGCAGATATCACTCGTCGCTGATTGCCAATGATGGAGCCAGTGTTGGCGGTGCTGTGGCCAGAGTTGGGTCACCTGTACTTAGTAGCACAATCCACTAACTACTGTGACACTGCGCCACCGAGTAAAAATATACAATAACACGGCACACTAGATGACAGCAATAGTTTGATAATAAAAGTTATGGTGATCTCACCGAGATGTGAGTGTAGACATTCTGATCCCGATGTATTTCTTCTTTGGCTTCGTCTCTCCTGCAAACAAAACAAAAACAGCCCCGCAACAATTTAACTATTTCAATGTACCCTAAGGTATTAGTTTTGCTTAATAGCGCTTGATGTATAGGCCGACGGAGTGCTGCAGATGTCAGATGCCCATTGAGCACAGCAAAGCTGAAGTCAGATAAGAGTGAGGGTGTCATCCAGGTGTGCGGGCATGTCTTGAGAAATTCGAAACGTCGCTCGAGTGAACATCGAGGCACTTTGAAAAGTTCTGAGCTTAGTTCAAACATTCTACATTGGGGAAAACACAGGTGAACAGTCTATTGCAGTCAATAAAAAGAAAGAAATTAAACTATACGTTAAGCATAGAGTATGAGAAATACATTATCTTTGCACCACTGATATGTGAGGTATGTACCTCAATTCCTGAAATGGAATGTTTTAAGCAACTTATTTTGACTTGGGTTGTCTGTGGGTTTCTAATTTATTTCAAAACCGTGGCTTGTGTTGCCGTCATCCGATGAAGATTTGAATGTTCAGAGTGTTACGTGTGGTGGTGGTGGTGGCGAAGAATAGAGCTGGCAATTCTATTAGTGTTGGTGGTTATGGCAATGCTGGTGGTGCCATTGGTGATGGTGGTGCTGATTCCGCTGGTGGTGACAATGTTGCTGGTGCTGATCGTGGTGATACTGGTGCTTGTGATGCTGCCAGTGTTGGTGGTGGTAGTCAGACTCGATTGGAGGTTGTCTACCGGCTGAAGTGCCCTTGAAAAAGAGCTTCTCAGACTAATGACCTTCACTCGGGAAATGCACTTTTGATTCTGATTCTTGTTGTACTGTTGGCAGCGCTGGCGGTGCTGGTAGTGATGTTGGTGGTGGTGCTGGTGGTGATGTTGGTGGTGGTGCTGATGGTGGTGCTGGTGGTGATGTTGGTGGTGGTGTTGATGGTGGTGCTGGTGGTGCTGGTGGTGCTGGTGGTGGTGCTGGTGCTGGTGGTGGTGCTGGTGGTGGTGGTAATGATGGTGGTGGTGATGGTGGCGGTGGTGGTGATGGTGATGGTGGTGCTGGTGATGGTGGTGGTGATGCTGGTGGTGGTGCTGGTGGTGCTGCTGGTGGTGGTGCTGATGCTGGTGATGCTAGGTGTGATGCTGGTGGTGATGGTGGTGGTGGTAGTGGTGCTGGTGATGGTGGTGGTGATGGTGATGGTGGTGGTGATGGTGGTGCTGGTGATGGTGGTGGTGATGCTAGTGGTGATGCTGGTGGTGATGCTGGTGGTGGTGCTGGTGATCGTGATGCTGGTGGTGGTGGTGCTGGTGGTGGTGATGCTGGTGATGCTGGTGATGGTGGTGCTGGTGGTGGTGGTGCTGGTGGTGGTGATGCTGGTGATGCTGGTGGTGGTGCTGGTGGTGGTGCTGGTGGTGATGCTGGTGATGGTGGTGGTGATGGTGGTGGTGGTGGTGATGGTGATGGTGGTGGTGATGGTGATGGTGGTGGTGATGGTGGTGGTGCTGCTGGTGGTGATGGTGGTGCTGGTGATGCTGGTGGTGCTGCTGGTGGTGGTGCTGGTGGTGCTGCTGGTGGTGGTGATGGTGGTGCTGGTGATGCTGGTGGTGCTGCTGGTGGTGGTGCTGGTGGTGGTGGTGGTGCTGGTGATGCTGGTGATGCTGGTGGTGGTGCTGGTGGTGGTGCTGGTGGTGATGTTGGTGGTGGTGCTGGTGGTGGTGCTGGTGGTGCTGGTGGTGATGCTGGTGGTGGTGCTGGTGGTGGTGCTGGTGGTGGTGCTGGTGATGCTGGTGGTGGTGCTGGTGGTGCTGCTGACACTGCAGCATGTGGCGTTGAGAGGCGCGTGGTCACCTCGAAGGCGGCGCTCATGCGCCTGCTGAAGGAACTCTCGGATGCGGTCGGACGGGATGGCGAAGGAGATCCCTGCCGTCACTTTGAGGGTGTTAATGCCGACCACCTCGCCGTCCTGAAAAGCGTTTACACCACGGGTCGTGAGAATACGATACAGGGTGCAGGGAGGTATTTATCCTGCAGTGGATAGACAATGGCTGATGATGATGATGAACATTTTTTAAATTCGTAATATTCACATCTCACCGTGTTGTACAATGTTGCTATGGACCTGTCATCCCGTGTTTACTGCACTGGTTTATTTTGCGCAGGTCTCACTTGCAAAATAAATAGTCCTGTTTGGGTCTCACTTGCCTTTGAATAAATGAGACACATTTATTCGTATCTCTTGCCTAAATTATGTCATGAGTCATTGTTGCTCAACTCACCCCGGTGAGCTGAATAATAATAATAGTCTCGTTAGATGCTTGAACATGTGAACCTTATGGCAGTACCACAGTACCCCAGCTCTCGCAATGTCCGTGATGCAGTCATTTCTAGTCTGCTGATGGTCGGCGATGCGGCAATCGACTCAGTCTCGACGAGCTGTACTCACGATGCACCGCTACGGTGCATACCGCGAGCGTTCAGGGTTTCGGCGCAATCGTCCTCGCTGCGTTTCGACATCGCGGAGTGGCACTGATTTCGTATTGATTGGTACCCCAGTCGCAGAGTTGAGTAACACCCCTGGATAAAATAGTGTCCCAGAAATAAAATATTTAATTGCCTCGGCCAGTTTGTATTATTTGGTACCCTGGAGTATCGCCATAAGGATCACGTGACAAATAATGTGAGACTGTTTCAAGTGGTGGAGGGCGCTTAAAGACACAGATTTGGTCAGATCATTACACGGCCTAACCCACACACACAAATTTCGAATCATAATATTGGCTGCAGAAAACATACGTATCATGCTACATTCATTATCTTAAAACAGGGGTAAAGGTGCAGCCCTGCAATTACTTGCCGATGCACCTCTAAAGGGAACTCTATAAAGAGCCCCTCTAGGTGGTATTTGGCCTACTCTTCCATGCTAACCAAACGTCTCTTGGAAGAGGTGGGCGCATCCGCACGTTAGTCCAGCACGCATGACCTGCCGATTGACGAACTGTGGTCGTGCGCAGGAGTTATATTATGGGACCTTTTTTCCAGTATCAAAGTATGAAAAACACGAATCGGTTTTATTCTTTCTGCTCATAAAACAGATGTTGAGATGTTCAAACAGCAAAAAGATACCCTTTGCCAACATGCTCTAATAATATGTTTGTTTGCATGTTCACCACCACTGCTGTGTGTGATTAACGCAGACTTGATTCCTTGCAAAAAGGTTTCTATTTGGTGTTTGAACATCTCAACGCCTGTTTTATTGCCTGAAAGGGTAAAACCTATTCAGATTTTTCATACCGTGTTGTAACGATTTATACTGTTGGGTGGGCAGGGGCAGGATGGGGGGGGGGGGATTCAAGAATCTTCAACGCTGGGAGATAAATTCGGCGCACTCACCGGGACAGCTCAGCAGCGTCCCACAATATCGGCACATCTCTTGGGCTCCACTCGCTACGCGATGCTGTACCATGCCTGCTTTATGACCATCCCTGACCTGTGTACCAGAGGTCGCAACCGGGTACCCGATACCCGTACCCTACCCGATACCCGGCTACCCGTACCCAGCTGGGTACGGATACGGGTACCCGTTTGCGACCCTGGTGCGGCCGGGTACGGGTAGGACCGTGAGTCACTGGTGAGTAACTGTTTGTCACTCATTTCCCAACGTCTTGTCTCTTCTCACAATTCAAGTTCCTAGAATCAACCCACCCGCGCCTGCAACATGGCTTCATCCCAGAGGTCGCAATCAGGTACCCGATACCCGTACCCTACCCAGCCGGGTACGGGTAGGGTACGGGTACGGCCGGGTACGGGTACCCGTTTGCGACCCTGGTGTGCGGGTACGGGTACGGGTAAGGAATCAAAACCCGTTTGCGAGCCTCTGCTGTGTACCCTACTCGTGAAATTGTCGCGAGGACCCAGTGCGTCGTGGTGCTTTGTCTGCTAAGCCAATGCAAACAGCCCATCGGACATTGTGAGGAAATACCATGGCACTCCCTTCCTGGGAACTCACAGAATGTGAAACGCACAGATATCCTTACGAAGCTTGCGCTCGTAAAGAGATATGGACTTAAAGGTCACTCTACGAGGAACACCCAGATTTTATTATTCGAGGTCACAACACCCGATAGCCTGGATACTCAGCTCGATATCGTATCAGAATGTTTTCTAAAAGAAACACAGTGCACGTTTATGATTTAAATTGTTCTAACAGCATTTGACAATTTATTATGACGGTATTATTTTCGATTGTATTATATAATAGTGGTTGATGCACTGAAACTACAGTGCTCCGCGACCTGAGTTTGATTCTCAGCCATGGCTGCATCAGTAGCGAGAGATATCTTAACCAACCTGCACTGACCACGGTGGTGAAGTATGGACAAAAGAACCGAAAGGATTTACAAGAGGTTGCTAAATATTATTACATCAATGTTGTAATGAGGGTTGTCATCAAAGCATCTGCCACCAAAGCTTGCAGACGATGCTGGTAATGAACATATAAAAGTGGATATATTTTGACAACGTCCTAATTAGCAATATGCTGAATTTTCTTTCTGCTCAAAATTCCCATTAATTGCTTTCTATTCTGGTGCAATAAGGAAATAAAACACACTTGATGTTCTTTATTGTTTCGTATGTTCCCATTCTAAAATATTTCAACATGTCCAGTATTTAATTGTGAATATGCTAATATTACCCAAACGTTTTTACCATTTGAATACAACATTTTCTCGTGAGATGAATGGGGTTAGCTTACCTGTCCTAAAACCGAAATAAGAACAAATAAAGCTTTGTAAACCACTTTCTTTAAAACATGGCATTAAAAAAAAATTATTGGGCTCCAAACGTAACACAATGATGAAAGCATGTTTTAAAAAAGGGAGTAGTCACCTTAATTCTAGATTCGAAGTTTTCGTGACTGCAAGGGTCCATACTCTTGGGTTTTGTCGGTAAAGTCACGTAGGTAAAAAATGAAAATAAATTAAATTAAATCACGACGTCTTCTTCTTTGAAGACGGAAGCTTGTGTTGCCTCCGAAACGCCCCCGAAAAGTCGTGATTTAATTTAATTTATTTTCTTTTTTTACCTACGTGACTTTACCGAAAAAAACCCAAAGAGTATAGTAGCGACCTTGTATGGTTAAATTGCTGCAATCTCCCAGCCTGCTTATAGCTCGTGTGCCTGCGTGAACATTGCTGTGGGTTTGGAGATACGGTCTTTGCATGAAGCCCTGCATCAGCTGCTCTGGGTTGCAAGTCCAATGCCAAATAAAAATATTCCGCTGGCTCTGCAACGTCGCTTCGAGTTGTGATTGATCAGCTGTTGTGCTGTCGTGTGTGGCTTTGCGATGACTTTAGCGAGATGACCGATGCCACTTGGTCCCTGGGCTATTCTTGTGAAAAACGAATTATTCAAGTAACACGTGGAACTGGAGCGTCATATTGCGGGCAACACAAACGACCAGATGGCACTAAATCAACATCGATATGTGATGCACAACGTGAGTGGTACTAATTCTCATCCCAAACTTAATTTTAAACACGAAGAAATTTGCTAAGGCTCATTAGATTAAATGCGGCGCATTAATACATTGAGGGCGCTGGGTGCGATGCAGCGGTGATCTCATTGAGAAACGAACCTGTCGATCTGAGTTTCAATCGCAGCCACGGCTATCATCAGTGGCAAGTGATATCTGAACCTGTCCTGGGTGTCCACTTCATCAACCCACACTGACCTGCGTGATGAAGTATGGTCAAAGAACAACCTTCAAGACGGACGCAGCGTGGGGGAGGCATTTAACTGGCAGTGGACTGGCAAGGAGCCACAATTGACATTCGCTATAAATTTTCAGGTTTATCTGGTTGCTGCTCTTACTCCAGCGATACGTGCTCAAGCTCAGAGGGCACTTTCGCACAATTGCAATGTAAGCGAGGGGTAGGTTCTGTCCTAGATGCTGCTGCTGCTATCTGCGAGCTGTCACCGCCTCGTTCGCGTGATGTCAGCAGACATTGCCTTGAGTAGCAGCGTAACGTTTTGGCAGCGGGGCCAGGCCCATGGGGAAAACAACTTCCAGATTTAAGGCAAAACGATCTGAGCTAGACATTAAAAGCAATGCATAGACTGTTTAAGCTTTAAACGTTACAAGCATTCCTTTAAAAAATTTTTTATAGGAACAGAATGTGAAAAGTACTACATTTGAGAAGTGCATTTCTATAAAGATTTAAGTTCAGCAGCACTGAATTACCCTCTTAGTTTTGTTTTTAATACAAGCTGCGTTCTGTTCAATCTCCTCTCTGACATAATCATGCGCAGTGCATTCCACGCCTAGCACATGCATACTCAAGCATTTCACAAGACGCCACTAATCTGCATGATCTCTACATATCGCAATTAAGGCCGCATACATACAAGTGCTTTGCATGTACTCCGGATTTTTGGGCAAAGTTGTTTTCAATCTCCATTTATCATGAATTAATAAATAAAATCACTATGTTGTACACTGTATAGTTCATCAAGAGTACGACCAAATCACCCGGAATGTACCCAATCCCATCATATCTCAGAAGCTAAGTGTGATAAGGTGTTGCAATGGGTCACGCACTTTGCACAACTGATTGTTGTTGGCTGTGGAACTACGACGTGGACAGCAGGGGAGAGTGCAGCTAGAGCTATTGTACTGCACTTCTATGTTATCCCGCGCCAATGCTCCCCACCTTCACCCATCGACACTGACCAGTGTGGCGAGGGAATTGTTTCACGTGCGTCTACTTTCTCCAGCCAGTGAAGCAAGGACAAGCGCATTCCTTCCAACGATTAAGCTAAGCAAAGTTAGATTGTGATCAGCATTATCATTGGCAAACAAGCTTATGGATTAAAACAAGTGGATGCCCAGAATGCACGAGTCATTAAAACAGTAAGAGCCCTAAATATTTAGGCTAACTTGGCAGATATAAGGAGATTGAGACCTTTGTTTGACTGGAGACTTGAATTTCAACGACTGATCTCTTGACAAACGTGTGTATCTGACAGCTCACTGTTCCCAGGGGTGAATGAAATCGCCTTTTTTGACAAATCTTATTTTGACGAGAATAATCCTTTTTCCCCGTAGGAGGTGGCATCCCTATTAGCACGGTTGGATATGTTACCGGTGCGAACGAAGTTCAACATACGTACGTACGTGCAAATGTCACTGGCGTGAAAATGATGATTTTTAAAAATCCACTTACCAAGTTGACCAGGGGCCCGCCAGAGTTGCCGTACTGTCCCAACGCCGCGGGGCCAGCCACACGCAACGAGAGACACAATCGCAATCACACACGTTAGTAGCGGCGGCACAAAGTATCGAGTCGAAGCGCGTTCACCCCGAAAACGGTGACATCGATAAACGGACGGGCAATGGGGTGCACAGACCGGCGTTACCATTCAGGCACGTGAGATAGGCGGTCAAAACATTTTGGGGCGAATGGAGGTAGTCGAAAATAAAGCTGCCATAAATCACTTTAGTCTCGATGTTATTAAAGACCTGGAATGTTTAATAATAGAGGTGATGGTGAAGGATGGCAGCAACACGAGTGCAAACTGTTCACGCTCCGCGCTTGAAGCGTTCCACGAAACCTTCTATGTAAGTCTTCATCCAGAGGCAGAATCTTTATTGATACTTGAGGAATAATGACCTCCACAGTAACTACAGTCACTCCATGCTTCCCTCTACCAAGTCTACTCCTGTGACCTCTCCTGCCTTTGCGTGAGCTAGACCTGTGGTTGCTGTTGAATGCCGATTGTATGTCCTTGATTAGTTTCTCATCAACCGATGAATCTGAATGTAACATTTCTCATTCCCACAATGCACATGCCATTCAGTGTCATAGGTTCGATTCCGATTAACTCAACGTTGGAAAATTTCCCCAAGAAAAAAAACGGTGGCAATATGTATATGCAATAAATACAAGTCTGTAATGTTTATAATTGTTTATATCTGTTTCAAGTTAGTCTGCCCAACTTATATAATTTCATTCAACTTTCCATATATGTGTGTATATCAATACATACATTCTACTGCCATTATGCCCACATTTACAATCAACTCAATTTAGTGCACATTGGATCTAAAACAAGGACGACATTTTTTTACCGGTAAGGAGTGACATCAGTGAATGCGTTACACTGAATCTCTCACTGCGAACTCTCTGGGTTCGCTGGTAAGCCTGCAGTCGGTGGCACAAGATTAGTAGCTGCAGACGTATAGCCAGAGGTGGATGGGATTTTGATTTTTATTGCTGTGGAAAATACCTCAGATGAGCCTATATGAATAGTTGTTTTATTTTACACCAACGTTGCCGACTACAGGCTCAAAGGCCCAAAATGCCAAACGACCATCAACAAACAGCACCATTGACGGTGTAATAGATAAGAATGAATAATGAATTCACATTTTTTTGCGGTGTACCAGTTCCATATATATTTTTCCGGGGTTGCCGACCGGCACAGACCCAAGATGAAACTGAAACGTGAGAGCCCTAGGCGGCAGTGGAGCTCCGTCACCACCGACGACGAAGCCGCCCGTGCCAGCCGGCTCTCGCTCGCGCTCACGTTGATGATGGCGTCGGTCTGGATATAGTCGGCGTCTGAGTCCTCGAGGCCCAGCTCCTGTCCGCCGCGCTGCGCCGTGCTCACGATGCCGGTCGTCACCGTGTTCTGCAGCTTGAAGGGGCTGCCGATCGCCACGACGAACTCGCCGGGACGCAGCTCGGCCGAGCGAGCGAGCCGCAGCACCGGCAGCTTTTTCTGCGATGGGAGAGTTCAAGTTCATTGATTAGGTATAGCCCTGTGAGCCATTCGGCTCTTGAATCGGGTGCAACCGTAACAAACAAAAACATGAACAAGAAAACATCTTAAAGTGAATATGTGACTAAGTGCAAACAGAAAATCCAAGAAAAGACAGCAAAATATTGCAGAAAAAAGCACCGTGTACACCAACGCTGTGTGCAAAATCCCAGTGGGATGCAAGTCAAACAACAGGGGCGGCAGCGACGTCGGCCGAGCTCTTAAAGACTCAAGCGGCCGCACGAACCACGTGGCCGTTCGCTCGGCCACCTACCCCCCCGCTCCCCAGTCATTAATAAATAAATTTATTTCTATTTAAAGCTTTCGTGACTGCAGGGAGTCTGAATGACTTTGTCTGAATGACTCTGTCTGAATGACTCTGTCTTCTCGACAGACCTGTTCTCCACCTGAGGACGACTGCTTGCGTTGTGGCCGAAGCGTCGTGAGAATTATTAAATAATGTTTTATTTTTATTATTTTATTATTTCCATTCTACGTGACTTTACCGAAAGAACCAAGAAAATTAATTTACGTATTTATAAATGCACTCGGCACTTCCACTTATTTTCTCATCCAATTAATTTTCGATGAAGTGTTTTTTGCCAGCTTTCCAAGTTACGTGACGTCCTGTAAAAAAAAAAAAAGACTATCTTGAAATTTCTAAAAGGCGTAATGTTTGCTTCCTTTTGGTGTGCCATTCATCATGGTATTACTTGAGTTTCTCGAGTTGTCAGCAGAATGACAAACATATTTCAGTCAATTCATAGTGGTGTGAGGACCACACATGGGGGACAGCGAAGAAAAATGCCAGGAGGCAGTAGCAGCAGCACAGGCGCTGGTACGAGGCTTGCCAACTCCAGCGTACAAAAAACCACGACCAGTGTTGGAGGGAAACATCTACTGGAAGAGGGGAGAACTGTCTTGAGACCAGTGTGTTATTCACAACTGACAAGGCTGGGGACTTTAAATGTCCAAAGGAAGACCTACACATTTCCCAGGACAGCTGCATGTAATGTAAGGCGGTCACAGGAATATCGGGACAGGCGGCAACCCGAAGCTGGCAAGTCACCTTGGCCTTGATGCGGATGGTAGCGATATCGGCCTTCTCGTCGGCGTCCACCACAAAGGCTTCGTAGGACTCTCCGTCGTGCAGCTGCACCTTCACGTAGCGCTTGTTCACCACCACGTGCGCGTTGGTCACGATCACGCCGTCTTCCGACACCATGAAGCCCGAGCCGCTCGCCACGGAGATGTTCCGGTTGAAGAACGGGTGCCTGGCCACGTGAGAAGACTGCGTTAGCGGCTTTTGGCTCGCCCATCGAACAAAGACGGTCGCCGCATCGCGCGCTTTCCGATATTAGAGAGCCACTGGAGCTATGTAATTTTAAATCATCTAGATTGAAAACTGATTTCTTTAGAACTGCGTTTTGTGTTCAGCTTGTTGTCCTTCCCCAGCACCTCCGATTAGCACGGGTGGTTATGTACGGTGCAAAAAAAGTTCAACATACGTAAATATATTTCCCTGGAAAGTGACGTAATAAAAGTAGTGGTACCAATAATAACTCTTGTTATGTATGCAGGAAGGCTTCACTCAGTATCAAGAATATTTGTAAAGAAGGTCCTGCAATGGGGCATTTGATCATTCAATTAATGGGTGTTTGGCTTGTGGAAGGAAACCAGATTACTCAGAGAAAACACACGGACACAAGGAGATAACATCTTAAGCTTCTCACACTTATATTCAATCTATTCCTATGCTGAGAGTTAAGCTGTCAAGATCTGAGAAGATTGGGTGCATCCGGGTTAATCTGGCCACGCTGACTCTCATTTGGAAGTTTGTGAACGAAAGTCCTGATCGAAGTCGACTCTACCCATCATGCCTCCAGGGTAATTAAAAGTCAACATGGAAATCCCATCGCTGACTTAGGATCCACCACTGGATATGAACACCACTCCAGCGCTCGTTTGGCAAAAGGGAGAGCTAGTTTTTTTTACTTTAAAACGATCCCCCAATGCAAACACCGGTACCTCCCCAGAGAGAGAGAGGGGAACCTCACACGCTCGTTTCCGCCACACCTCGGAGTTCACCGCCGCGGTCTCTCCCGCCGCTGTGCCTCACCGGGAATAGAGCTCGATGTGCACCACCGCGGGCACGATCTTCTCCACCACGTCCGCGATGAAGTTGAACCTGTCGCGAAGGCTCTTGTGCGGCTGCGAGCCTTAGCGACAGAGAGAGAGAGAGAGGCAAGTCGGGGGACACCCTGATTAGCCCAGTTGCTTGGGGCCGGAGTCACAGTAAACAAAGAACAACAACAACAACAGCAGCTCCACGTGGACAGTGTCTACAGGTGTGGACCTTGACAAATTGTGGTAGCAAGGTAACAGCAATAGCAGGGTGCTCCCTCTGACAAGAGGACTCATTAAGTCGTTCCCTGCACCCCCCGTTAAGGCTGTGCCAAGACGGTATCGACTCACGGCGTAGGCGTCCCGAGCTCGCGAACTCTTTCACGGGTGAAACGAGAACCTCTGGCCGCTAATGAATGAGTCAATTAAATAATCAGTGCGGCGTTCGGGCGCGGCGCTGGTGCTGGGTGGGGGGGTCCTCACCGCTCTGTGCGTCACCGGCCGTGATGCTGGCGAGCGGGCGCGCCTGCAGAGCCGTCAGCTCCGGAGGGAATGGGGACGCTGCATCCACACACAAGGACAAAGATCCCCCAGCGTTGTAGCCTTTGAATGGGACTGTTGGGGCGAGTGCTGTTCCTATGTATGACAGCATCGTGGTGGTTGTCGTTGTTGGTGGTGTTGGTGTTGGTGGTGCGCACAACGCAGGACACGAATACAATTGAAGGGGACTGAAAATATGCTGAGCCAACACGTGCATTTTGGAATGGGATTCTGTTGCATGTATGTATCTCTTTGGCTCTTTCGGTAAAGTCACGTGGGTAGAAGAAAAATAATAATAGATCACGACGTTTCGATCGCCACACAAGCAACCGTCTTCAGGTGGGAGTGTATGTATGCTTTCTAGATTTGAAATTTTCGAAAATGCAGGGATCCATACTCTTTGGTTCTTTCGTTAAGTTCACGTAGGTATAAAATAACGAAACGTCGTGATTTAATTTGTTTTATTTTATACCTACGCGACTTTACCAAAAGAACCAGAGAGTTTGTATGCTTGTTGAATTTCTTTCGCACCGTACGTAGCCAACCGTGGTGAAATCGGAGGTGCAGGGGGGCAGGGATAACAAACTAGACAGAAGTGTCAGTTCTAATATCAATGAGTTTTCGATTTAGATTTTAGAGCGCATCGTTCCAGTGACTCCGCGAGTGCATGTGAAGGCCGGCACGGCACACGAGGGGGTGGGTGGCCAGCACCAGCCGCCTTTGTCTCCAAAGTGTTTACACATCACAGCAGGTACTGCATTTGAGACTGAGTCGACCTAGGCGAGACTCAGAACCGTGTGGCTGTGAGTGGGAATCTACACTACCGCTCCCGACGAGAAAACGTATGATGTTGGCATATCGAAACGCAAACATTCACATTCACACACAGCACGTGCACACGTTGAATTTTTTGCAGCTGAGCACGTCCACACACATGCACGTTCAGATTCACACACTGCACGAGACACACACACACACACGTGTGAACGTGTGCACATCACATGAAGGCACATCCACACAAATGCACATCAACACGTACACACAGCACGTGCACACATTTGAACATACGTAGACACATCCACACACACACATAAATTGACATGCACACTCGCTGGTAATGGGCAAAGATGCCTCCCGCTTCCATTTAGCTTCGCAGACTGTTCGACACACAAACTACGCACGATTAAATAATTAAGTTCGTGTGCTTACAAGTGCACTAACTACTACGTAAGCCAATCTGCTCGCACACACACACACGCGCACACATACTGTCAATCACACTTGTAAAAACAACCGTGCATGAGTGGGAATACATTACCCTTCAAGCAGAGCATTGTATTAGTGACATGAACTCGTTAACGCAGCAACGCGTTTATTAATTATTTATTAACTTTAGAAATTTTAACCCGGATCCCATGGCACTGTAACATCTGTTTTTCATACACAACGTGTGCTGTTTAGTCGTCGTCGTCGTCGTTGTTGGAGGAGAAACGTTCAGCGTTCGTCAAAGAGCTCATGCCAGCTTTGTCGGCGATGATTTGACGTCGCATTGACAGGATGGAGTCTCGGTGACAGTCGCGTGGCGATGCTGCGTGCAGCACAGGGCACGGATGCAATTAGCAGTGAAGGGAGCTTTAAATAAGCACGTTTATTTGGACTGGGATTCAGTTGTGTGTGTATGTTGTGTGTGTGTGTATGTTTGTGTGTGTGTGTATGTTTGTGTGTGTGTGTGTATGTTTGTGTGTGCGTGTGTTTGTGTATGTTTGTGTGTGTATGTTTGTGTGTGTGTTTGTGTGTGTGTGTGTATGTTTGTGTGTGTATGTGTGTGTGTGTTTGGACGTTAAACTTCTTTTGCACCGTACGTAGGCAACCGTGTTCATCGGAGGTGCGGGGGAAGGACATCGGTGGTGCGGAGGCAGACTTGCAGCCAATGATTTAATACGTAATTTTTATTTTGCTTATTCATGAAAGGTGGGCTCACCGAGTCTCAATACTCTCATGAGGGTCCTGTAACTGGGACGTTTGGCCAATATCACGAATGAGCATTCGGCATCATGCGGGAGGAACGGCGATGGGTCAAGAAACTCCACTCGATCAGCACTGCCATCTCCTGGCCACCTTGTAGGCCCACACCTACGACACCTGGCAAGCCCCTGGTGGTTGCTAATTTAAGTACGAAAGGGAGCTCAGCTTTGCTTAACTTTTGAGATCCGGTGAGACTTGGGACATTTGGCTGCATTGGGATACAGGCAAATGAAAATACCCTCACATTAATGCGCTCCCTGTGTAACATTGCCAATGCAATATAGTGTATTGATTAATGAATTCGCAAAATATATGGAGCTGTGGCGCTGGTTTCTACGAAAAAATAAAGTATATTATTGACGTACTCTATTATTGTCGTCATCATCAGCCGTGATGACTGCACCTCCGATGGGCACAGTTGGATACGTACCGTGTAACATAAGTTAAATAAACATACGGCCATGATCGATTCACTCCTGGACAAAGGCTTTCCCCCCAAATACACTATATAGAGCGACTTAGCAATAATTCGGGGCCAGTAGAGCCTCGGTAGTTGCTACTCTTTGGATGAACGATGGACATTACAATTATTATTCATGATTCTCACAATGAATTACGTTTCTGTGCATCTGCCCATCCGTTTATCTGTTGGCGCGTGGTCAAATGTAGATATATTTCGCACTTTTGTCTTTATGTTGATTTCATTTCACTTACATAGCAGCTCGGAATAAAATTTTTGTCTGCGTTGCTCAATCAATAACCACCTGTGGCCGCAACAAATCATTACCGCATCATGAGCACATTTCCCAGCCATCCGTGCTGCGCATTCCCTGCCCATATTGAAGCCGATGCTTCGCCTTTGTTTGCCAACAATGCCAGGCCGTCTCTATCTCTCCGTGAATAAATACACCCCACTGATCTGCACGGCAGTCGCATTTAGACGTTAAGTAATTCCACATTGCCATTGTATGCTAAAGCCCTGGGCTTAAACTATGATCAACAACAATCCACCATAGAGACATCCAATACACTCCGCTGAATCCCCTCCACCCCCTCCCCGAACTCCCATCAACTAGTTCCAGTCCCATTATGTGAAACAGTAATCTTTAATTTTCCTTGAGATGATGTCCCTTTTATTTTAATCGCTCCCACGGACGCATGCAAGCCCCGTAGAGTAGTAGTAGTAGGTCCTGGCATCACACCAGTTCAAATAAAACAACCCTCTTTGTTGCTCTGCTGGTATTATGTCAGTTGCGTGTAATTATCCGTAATTTTACTGATGTATTGTGGTAACCTTATACTGCTCCTAAAGACTGGGACTGGACCGAGTTTCCTGATTGACAAATAATGAATTAATCAACCCCCCTTCATTGTGGAATTTCTGCAACAACGGAATGACCAAACCATTTTCACGAACCATTCTGTCCGGCTGAAATCGGGGCAGTCGCGTCGACAAGCCACCGGAACAAAGCAGACAACAGTAGGGCACTAAAATTAATGTGGCAAAGCAGTAGCTAATTTCGGCACAGAATTGCTGACATTATTCTTGATGTGATTCATTGACACCCGTCGTGGCCCATTATAGCGTCCACGAAGTATACAGCCCAGTTAAAATATCTATGTAGTGCTGATGCCCTCAATCATGATTTCACCACTTCTCATCTTTAATTACCCATTTGTATCTTTGTCCGTGCACGAACTCACTAAAATTTCACAATTCGCACGACTCCATACTCAGTTTCAAGTAACAGTTTTACATCCCCGGCATAGATTAATCGTGTAGAGTCCTTTTTGACCATAACGACCACATCAGCCGAGGTTGGCCACAGAGTGCTTGGCTGGAGTATCGGGGGACACCAGAAGGGATTCAAATTTCACTGCAGAATTAAACATACTCTCAAATCCCTTTACTTAGTGCCATTAACAAGAAATATATATATTTGTAAAACCATTACAAATCCATGCGTCTGCCTATGCTTTGCCCCCAGCTCGCATTAAACAAAAGTCGCTCTTCAATAATTTCCAACCAACTCCTCTTCATATGACTATGACGGAGCCGTCAGCTGATCCTTAAAATAACGCCCGTGTCCGATTGCCCGGTCGTATCTCTCGGCAGTTTAATTTGCTCATGGGCCACCCAACCCACGAGCTCAACCGTGTGGCCGCGACACGCGCGCGCACACGACTCACGCCGCCGTGACCATGACCTGCTCAGCCAGTTTGCTTATTCAAACGGAATCTTGGCTTGAGACTTTCCACCCTCCACCCCCTCACCCCCCCCCCCCCCAACATGGATCTCGGCCTCGGCAGGCACCTTGCATTCCTCTGCCTGGTGTTATCACTCCGGGACCTTTTGTGTAGTAACTGTATAAAGGAAACACAATTACGTTGGCATCTTCGTGTTGCAGAAACTAGGCACCAACAACGGATATACATTCCATTCAATGGATTTCCCTTTGAAGCGTAATTATATATATGTGCTTGTGTATATTTAGCAGTAACAATTGGTCTCAAAGTCAATGACCTGTACTGTGTATACATTCCTAAAGAGATTTGAGGTCACGCTTGAACTTGTATTGAATGCGTGAAAAAGTACATAGGATACTGAGTATGTTCAAATAATTTGAAGAGTACGTTTCTAAATGTGGAGGGAAAAACGGGAGAACCCGGAGAATAATCCATACAACCAGCAGGCGTCAAGGTCGGGATCGAACCCACGACCTCCTGTAGACTAGAAGGGGCAGTTAACATCTCACCACCGTGGTGCCCCTATGATAGAGCCATCAGCTGGTTCTCACGGTTTCCTTCCAAGTGAAACAAAAAATAATCAGTAATTGAGAAGAAATAAAACAGCATCTCAAGACTAAAAATAATCATTTGCGTCGTTGCTGAGAATATAAATAACGAAATAAATAAACAATGTCTCCACATATCTTTGCCTCCACAGAAAAAAATGCAAATTTTTTTTGTACAAAGCCGTCAGCCACATGGTCTTC